ACATTTGCTATGGAGTAGTATGTAGTGGTTGATTGACAGTTGTAGATCTAAGTAATGTACTACTTTTTATTTTAAAATGTGATAGGAATATACAAAGGGTCTTGTGATGCTTGTAGGTGAACTATCTGTTGGTGCTCAGATTAATTCTGATTATGGGAGATGATCAGATAATCGTCAGATTATTTCTGACAAAGATTATCATATTTGGTTAGGCCCTATACAATGCTTCTGCAAGACCAAGTATTCTCTATAGACTAATATTAGATTAGTAACTTGTGCTGAATTATAGCTGCCCACAGCCACGAATAATAGCTGTCCACAGCCATGCCTATGTTTTGTTTGAAACAGAAATTACCAATGTGGAACTTACTATATTTGAGATTAATACCCCAGAACTTTAGATACAAGGAAGGTGATCCAACTGTGGGCAGTCAGGATTGGTCTTCCTGTTAGAAGGTGTTAATTATTAGGGGATGGGGGGGGGGGACTTGAGCTTGTTAACTTTAGGAAGCAAATCTATGCAGGGTAAACTTACAGCAGAAGAGTCAAGAGCTGAAGTAATTTATTTGCAGTCAAATTGGTGGGGGGGCGGTTTCTTGGTTAAAGAGTGTCTGCAAGTCATTTTTAGCAGAGTTTATTAGCTCAGAAACTGAATGTGTGCTGAATTTTCCTAGGAATTTATATGTGTTTAGTTGATTTGCTGTTTGTGCTTCATTAATGTGACGTGTAGTCGATGCATAAGCTCATATTTTAGCTGATATTAGGGATGCTGGCTGCATCTTCCAATGTGGTGTGGACATAATCAAAACTTGTATCTTTGAAACTGTGAGCGGGGTTATGGCGTCGGATTGATTGCAATCATGGGTGAGGTCTTTATGGGGGGGGTTATTGAAAGAGTTTCAGTGGACAGGAGGACAAACTTATAAATTTATATTTTCAGTGAGAAAGGGGTCTTCAATGGGGTCTGCAGGGATGAGGAAGTGGCCTTGGACTTTTGGCAAATTATTTGGTTACTTAAGTTTTGGAAATTGGGGAACTGGTCTAGAATTTCTTTTGCCAGCTATTTATTTCTTTGTTTCTGTAGGACATTAGTTTGTAAGCACCATGTTTGATTATAAAGGGGTAGTCTGCTGTTTATAAAGGATTTGACAATTTTGTAATGAAGTGATGACATCAATATTTCATGTGGTTGACTGGTTTGTTGCATCTGATGTCATCTATTAGAGTGTGGTATTGGTTGTCAAGTTCGGATAGTTCAGTGTGGAGGTTGTTTCTAATGTCGTTAATGAGTTGATTGAGGTTTTGAATACCAACATGGTGATGATTTGTAGTGGTGTCAGTTATGTCTGTTGCTATGTTATTTTCTACTCTGAATTCTTAGCTGTATTCATTTTCAAGCATGTGAAGGTGAGGGATGTATGTTTCTAAAATTGAGCAAAGTTTGTTCATACAACTGATGCAAGCCTTGAACAAATTGAGTTGCTTACTGGAAAGCTGGTGCCATGTAAAGATGTTGTTGCCAGATTTTATTTTAGGGGATATGGTTTCTCACTGAGGATGGGAGGTATTTTGAAAAAAATTAGTATGGAATTATACGATTTTGAGTTGGGGATGATTGGATAATTAAACTAGACAGGAATTTTTTTTATCTATTATTTTTATTTTTATGATACAAATATTTCTTAACTTTTGGTGAGGGAAGAATAGCATGAGAGGAATTGGGGCTGGGTACTAGATTATCCATTTTTTGAGAAGGGGGAAGTTCAGATTATCTTTAGAAGAATGAGGTAAAGGGTGAAGGAAGACCAATCTTTCAGTGTACATCAGATCAGATTGTAGATCAGATTGAATTTAGATTAGATTAATTAAGGGAATATGACAATGTTACCGTAATCTGTGAATACAAAGGAATTTATAGATGGTGTGAGATAAATGAACATTGATAGATTAACACGTTCAAGAGAGTAAACAGTCTTTGTGCAATTAGGAGAAATAAGAGGAATACTAATGTTTCTGTAATCCTTGAATAAAAAGAATTTATAGAGAATTCTGGAAATAATTTAATTTATGCTGCTAATGTAAATACACAAGGTTAAAAACAGACAGTATTAAACTTAGTGGAATGATAGTATTTCAAAAAGAATTTGGTGGCAACAAAATCTAGGATTGAATCTAATTTTTTTATACCAAAATCATTGCAGAAAAATCAAGTAGTCACTTCCAATTGGCTTTTTCAATAGACACTTTCATACAGGTAGTTGGCCAGTTTACAAATTTTGTTAGGGGCGAGTTGGAAGTCTTCAGACATGGAGAAGGCTGCTCTTTTATGATGACTTCCACGTTGGTCATTCTTTGAAAAAAGCCTTGTTCCCTTGTGGAACATGTGCTGTTCCCAAATGGAACATTCCATTTTTGGGAACACTGATTTCAGGGAATGCGTGTGTTCCTTTTCGGAACCCAGTTAACATGTGCTGAGTACACAAATTTTGTTTTTATAAACTTCTGCAGCACACCTGTGTTGGAATCGAGGATTTTGCTCAGATACTATATTAAATAAGATGAATGTGGGACATCATCTGCAAACATTTTGAAAAATAGATCTCTAAATTTGAATCAAACCACAGGCACTGCAGTACCGCATGCAATACACTAAGCTGTGTAACAGGGGAGGGGATTATTACGACAGGCTTTCTTGCTCCCAGACTTGACAATTATTCGGCACTGGGATACGATTATGATGTCCAAAAAGACGAATTTCCTTTAACTGAATACTGCTTTTGTATTCAGCATCGCAGCAAACATCACAAGTGAGTAAACATTATACATCCAAAGAAACTAGAGAAATTGTCATTTGATAAGAAATCTGCACTGTGGGAACACCACCATTCCCTAATGGAATGCTCAGAGAATACTGTGGGAATGCCACTGTTCCCTGATGGAATGAGTGGAGAACACCTTTGGAACACCACTGTTCCCTGATGCAATGCGTGTTTGCATTCTTGAAAGATATAAAATATGATGAGCTTATTCCCACTGAGAATGACCAAAACATTTTGTCTCATCTGTATCGTGCTTATGAACTTCAAACTGAAAGGACTATAATGAAACAAGAACTTGTCAGTTGTCAGGAAGTCATGTAAATTCCCCCTCATCAAAATGGTTTAAGTGACTAAGTACCAGTATTGGGAAGCACAATGCAGAAAATGGTCATGTGTTACACACACATAAACAACAACAACATATTCAGTGCAAAACGGAAATAATTTATGGAATCATTTTGGCAAAATATTTATACAAAAACTTCAAAGCACAGAAACTAACTCTGCAGAGCACATACGTTAAATTATGCAAAAATGACTCCTGTCTGATTGCTATCCGGCATGCTCAATTTACCCTGCTCTAACATAATGGACGTATCATGTTGTCAAGTGCTTCTCCTTCCAGGATATTTTATTTTCCTTTGCTTTCCATCCCAATTAGAATTACGATATGACCCACTTCCAATGTTCCCAGAAGGAACATTGACGTGACAACACAGTATTCCCTAGAAAACAGCTGGGAACAACTCGTGTTCCCAAGAGGAACACTGGCTGTTGCCATTGGGAACAAGCTGTGTTCTAGATGGGAATGACTTGAGTTCCCAAATGGAGCATTTGAGCTGGAACAAGAACGTTCCGACTTTTGAGATGCTCCCTAAACAACAGGGAAAAGCAAAACAGGTACTATAAACCCCCCCAAAAAGGGGTCAACCAATTTTATTTTTTGCCCAAATCACTGTCCTCATCAGATGCAGTCAGTGAGATGGGTGGTTGGGCAGGTGGGATGGGGGAGAAAGGGTTGAATTTTAGGCCTGTTGTTGTGGCTGTCGATGGGCAAGTAAAATGCTTGATATGCTGGTACCCCCTATATCTCAGTTGATTTCAATGAGTGCTAAATTAGTTTTTGAATGGTTCTACAAAGAGAAAGTGTATGCTGATTACATATGTATGGCAAATGTGTGTTAAGGTAGGTAGTTGGTTTAATTTGTATGTGAGTAAATGCTAACTGGATGAAAATTTAAAAACCAAGTAAAACAGTATCAAAAAAAAGGAAAAGACAAGGTACTGGATGATCTGGTAAACAATGGATTTCAAGAACAAAACAAAAAAGGCATATTATTGTTCCAATTGTTGGGCCATTAACTGTTCATTTTGTTGATTCTAAGCTTGTATTCTAGACAACTATCAGTGCATGTATGACCAATCAGTTTGTTCATGGTAATGAAGTTTTTTCAAGAGTGCCTAAATGCATTCCTTTCACTCAATTTCCAGCATTAAATTTACTGAGATGAAGTGCACTTATGACTGATTTCTCAAAACTTAGTGTAGATGGGCAAATCTTTGAATAGAAATAACCAAGACAAAGACAGTTTCGGCTTCGACAACCCTGGCTGTCTATCTGTATGTACAATTTCAAAAATGTAACACCAAAGTCAAAGTAGTAGGGCCATCTATAATTTTCAGAACAGTTTTGCCTTGTTTCTTCAGAATGAGGCTGCAAATTCCATGTCTATCATTTTATTACGGTTCCCTTTCAGAAAAAAAGACATTTGATATAATCTTACATGAGCAATAAGAGTCTTCAAAATGATCAAACTTAGAAATAATGCTTTTAGACTGCGATTTATATTCTGCAAATGTATGCAATCTTGGACTATCAAAAATAAATCCATTATGTGTTACAGAAGTCACAGGCTTATGTGCACTAAATAACTTTTGTGAACTCAGTAATTACACTCCTCAAAATATGCAATTAAACTGTTGGAGATGTAAACTATCACCAGGGACAGCACTGGGAGCCGTACTGTATGCCTCAAGCAGTGCTCTCCCCAATTCCCCTTTATTTATGCCACAGTGCAAGGGGCACAAAATTAAAGGCCAAGGACAGCCAAATGTCCCTGTGCCTTTCTGAAGTTCCCTCGCTGCACTAGCATAATTAAACTGAACCCATGCATGACTCACCTTTAGATAATTTTGTTTGTCGTTGCACATGTTGAACGATTTGTTCACAGAATCTAGAAAGAAATCGGTGAAGACCAGTTTGATGCGTCCAACAGGAGACAAATGCTCCAGCTCATAGAAATAAATGTGTGAGCTTGACGTGGGATGGCGCAAGGGAAAGCCTGGGGATGTCACAGCACCTGACGATGAGCAGGAATGGTTGCCTTGGATGAAGTCAAAGAAATATTTATAATCTGTGAAGGTAACAGAAAAGAAAAGAAACCATGTTTATTTTGAATGGTCATCACTTTGGGAAACACAATTTATCAACATGCATGTGTTATATTCAGACTTCAGGAACAAACATTAATTTGTGAATTTTACCAAGGTACTGTCCCACAGGATGAGACAGTGAACTGCCAATTGTTCAAACAATCTGTCTGGAGCAGAAGAACCCCCTCATTGGTTGAAAAGAGCTGCGTTGGTTGGGGGTGTTCATGTGGGGATGCAACTGTGACATGTGTATTTCCTTGTCATTCGTGAACAAGCGAAGTTCAGTTTCAACCAAGGAGCCTCCATTGCCTAAAAAATAGCACCATCTCTTGGTCCAGATTGAGGCCCATAGAGTAATAGGGGTAATAGTGAATAGGACAGTAACCATTCCTGACAAGTTGAATTATAAGAAAGGACACACTTAGGAGAATTTATGACCTCCTGCCGCCAGGTGCATGTGGTTTAAAGATGTAGTCTATCATTTGCCGTTATCAAAAAAATTAGCTCACAAAAGCTGAAAAAAGCACATTAGGCTCAGTGTGATGGGACTAAACTCCCTGTGAAATTATCCTGATCTGAAAGCTGTCCTTGGCTAAACGTGTCAAACAGTACATATTTGGAAACTGTTGCCAGTAGTTCGTTCGCAAACATACACGCATGCATCAACACAACACATATGCGTACAGTTACTATAATTCCTCAGTTCAATGCATGACAATGCATTAAGTTCAACTGAATGAAAATGTGTCCCAGATGTTGAATTCGGGTGCAATTCAAACTGTGACTGAGATGCAATCTTTGAGTTGAAATCAACATCCTAGAATATTGTTTTACTCGGAATATCTAGTATTCACTGAGCTAAACTTCATCCGATTAATTGTTCTTTAGGTATTCTTGTTCAGATTTTGAGTACGTTTGTTGCCATAAAAGAACATAATGCACAAATGACAAATAATGGACTGCACCTTTAACCACTGGTAAGCTTGCTAAAGCTGGCAGATTCATATCTGATACAGCAAAAAATGGGTATCGTAATCAATGGTAATTCTCAAATGTCACTAACTTGTGGCAGACTCATGCTTGATTTGTGAACCAGCACTTAACAACTCATAAACCCTGATTGATAAATTTATTTAATCAATAATAATGATCGACGTAAGTTTCAACCATAATGTTAATAAAAAAATGCATGTGCATGCATGATACAGTTAATATGGGATTGTATGCATTTTTTCTGACCTTCCTAATGCACCACATGATTAGTGTCAAATTCCCTGAAACCAATGGACAAAAAATATCAATACAGCCCTCCGTTATCAAATATAAAGAGACTTGCACCCTCAGCACTATAGTGTAGTGTAAATATGCAGACAGCAACATCAAACTATCTCTGATGACAACATGTACTCATTCAGTTGTCAATAGGCCCAGTTGTCACAGTTGGATCAAGTTCAGCTTAGCCGACTGACTGCATCAAGTCCTCAGATAAAGTAGGCCAATACCAAAATGGACAGAGACATGATGACGGGTGTGCACAATGTTCCTCTTGTTCCATACTTTTGGTCTAATTGTTCCTGGTGTCTGAGAAGTTAATACATGTACCAGATGTCAAAAACAGCTGACTATCAGCTAAACGTGATACATCAAACACTTAAGTACCAGTTTAGATGCCAGAAATGGTATGACCACCTGAAAAGGGCACTTCAGACGAATTGGCTGTGAACTTCAGATAAAAATTGCTTTTGTATTTTGGTTTGGGGGGGTTGTTAATGTTGAATGGCATCACACACTGTCTCTTCAGTGACTGCCTACATCTTTATTATTAACTGGTGAGATGTCAGCGATCATTACGACCATATTGAAACTATGCTCAATGGAGACAAATTTAACTACAGTAGGTCTCCTTTCATTGCGATATCAAGTATTCATACAATGTTTATTCAGTATACTATATACCTTTTGCGTGAAGGTTTACTTTTCCCCTTTTAATAAAATAGCAAACAGCACAGAGCATGCTCTGGCTGCTCCTCAATAATATCGATAATGCTTCATTACACAGATAATCATTGAGAGGTAGCTTGTCTTCAGAGTAATAACTAATATTTTGAAACAGAATTCAGGAATTAGTGCATGAATATAAAGCCTTAAAAGCATAACAGCCCTTCACAAATCTCTACTTATCCTTGAGCAGGGTCATCTATATGGCCTTATTTCATTTTGCTAATTACCAGGTGGCCATTATCCCTATTGCTAATGCTGCAGTAATGACACTCCTAATTACAGCAAAGCCAGCCAAGGCCATCATTCTATATGAGAGAAGCCGGGGAAAATGATCAGCCTCTGCAGGCTTCAGGCAGTGGACTGAACATGAAGGGGGCCTCAGACAACAATACTCTAATTTTTGGCAAATGATGAGGGCAATCTAGTAGCTCATCTAGGGGGAAATTTCTGAGGGGGTATCCAGGGGTACAAATATTTGTTCAAGGGGTCAATGAAAGCAACTCAATTCAAATTTTCAAAATGGGGGGAGTGGTAATGGAATTCCACTGGGACGGGGAGACACAACCCTGTGTGCCCCTGGAAGTTTCAAAGCCAGTGATCTGAATTTGAGATGCAGCAGCAAAACGGGCATTTCACAACAGCGCACCTCCAAGAGTTTGCAACGCATTAGCCAATCACAATGCATGAAATCTGTTGACCCAATGTGTGTTTGCAAAGGGTCAACAAATGTCATGCATTGTGATTGGCCGATGTGTTGCAAATTCTTGGAAGCGCACTGTTGTGAATCGTCTGTGTTGTATACAATGTCCTGTCTGTTTTGTGAAAATGTTGTTCCTTTCTTTAATTTACACAGCCAGCAACTCTGTAGATGAGTGATTTTATATCTAGTTGTAGCTACTCTGTCATTTGTAACAAATATTACACAACTGAACAAAACAATGACCATTACTCAGAAGCCAATTAAGTAGCACGCTTCAACTGGCGTAAAAATGTTTGAAAATCCAATGAGCCAGTTCAGTACTTATAATTCAATAGATCATGTTCAGAATATAGCTCACTTGAAAACACCAACAGCACTAAAAACTGGTCCTGTCGGCCCAGGCTTTACACTGACTCACCCGTGCTGAACTCTTTTGTTTTGTAAGGGTGTGATATCAGGTGCTTTGTTGTCAAATGACTTGCCCTTTTGAAATACTGAAACTGACTCATTAAAAATGGTTAATTACAGGTACCATGTCAATTTTCTGTAAAAAAGCTTTATATGTCTAATTCCAGGTGGCCAGAAGCATGCAGAAAAAGTCTTTTATTTGCAAAACATTGCGTAATACATTCAGGTAGGCATCACAATGCCTAGATGCCTCTAGCTACAATGTACATGTACGTGTAGGTACATGTACTTTCCTGCTTGTAATGGTTCACTATCAAACTACAAAATTGCATTCTATTCCAATATTTAGGAATGATTTCCCATGTGAAATGTGTCAAAGGATGCCTGAAATTAGGACTTTTTTAAAAACACTGGAACACACGAGTAGCGCAGATACTAAAACCAACTTAATTCACAACACACTGTCTTGTACACGTGACACATCCGTGATCGGTAGATTGCTGATCAAGCCACAAGCAAAGTGCAAACTGACAAAAAAGACAACAGAAAACACAGCAAGAATTAATCTTAGGACTGAAAACATTCACCAGATATATATATGCGCATACTATTACTATTCCCTTTGTTAACTGCAGTTGGTACCAAACTACCATCATTTATAAGCCTTACATCTGCATGGTTACCAGATTTATAACTTACAGGCTTACTTGTACATATGCTTGTGAATAAAACATTTCAGGAATGAGAGGGTAGAAAGTAATGTTAAGTTTGTGGCACGGCGTACTCATACATGCAGTTCATTGTGTTGTGTTGGTATGCATCAAGGGACATCAATTGCATTTGACGGTTGCAGTGGACAGCCTGAACAGGAATTGGGTATGCCACACAGTTTATTGATTGGTTGTTCATACGCCTGGGCAGTTATCACAGATTGCTCTCAGCTTTTCCCTCCTGATGCCCACTGGAGAATTCATCAAATAAATAGAGACAGAAGTACACATGGGGTTGTTTTATTTTCACCCAGAGCTGATGTCCCGGGCATGGCATGATTTTCCCAGGCCAGGTCTCGGCTGTCGGTGAAATACAGTCTTTTTCACGAGCCGGGTTCAAGAAGCGAACCTCATTATGCATGCAGGTATAAACAAACCACAGTATGTGCCGTGATTCTTGCTGAATAAATCATCATTTAATGACCAATGGATAATAGATACAGTCCCTAATGGAAGTGTACAGGCTGTGCCATTAAGCAAATGCACTCTGGGCACAGATACGAAACTTACTTACGGCTGGCTTTCGTCCTTGCCATGCTTAATCGAATGCAACAGTAGGCCCAAGTGAGCTCCTTCAAATTCTCTACTTTGATGCAGCATCCATATTCAGGGTTCCAATAACAATAAGCCTGGACTTTTGACCTTAAAACAAGTTCTCTATTTGTGGGTTTCTCAATCAATACTAAGCAAGTTAAATGTAACTGCTTCTGATTTTCTTAAAGGAGCTAAGTAAAGCGGTGGAAATATTCATGAGGCCCTTACAATTCTCTGCCTCCCACAATAGGCCTAATAAGTTTTGCTTCTAAGCTCGTCAGTTCTCCTAAAAACTGAATACTTATGGAAACTCCTTTTTAGTAAAAACAGCTCACCTTTGATGAGACTTACAAGGTGACAAGAGGATAGAAAATATGAAGAAAAACCAGTGGTGAAATCCATACTGCCAACGGGAGAAAGAGGATGTAACAATCCTAACACAATATTGTCTGACAGTAGAAATTTGACAAGAAACACAACACATGTATGTACATGTTGTAATCTCATATGAAATGGAACTTTAACAGTTTTTGTGTTTGTGCCATGTTTTCATTTTTTTTTCTTTTAA